ACACTTGAAGTGTAAACAGTACGAAGCAGTGACCCAGTTTTCCAAAAACTACCACAGCCTTTGGTTAGGGGCTTTTTGGCCACAAGTCCTGCTTCTCCTGGAAGGTGGAGGACCCCTGGGGCCACGCAGGCTCTGGAGCAGCTCACTTCTAAGTGAACCGCTCAGGTGCTTCACTGCCAGCCCATAAATCATCACCGTGAGCTGGTGGTTCCAGTGCTGAGCCTGGCAGTGGGAACCTCACAGCCCTTCCCAACACCAGGGCTGCCTGGTACAGCCCAGCCTCCCCCCGCACCCGCTCCCACAGCTCTTGCACGGCGCAGCCGTGTCCCCACAAAGGCCGGCTCTGAGAGCGGCTGCGTTCCCACAGCTGAGCTCGCCCTCCCCAGGGTGTGTTTGCTACGCCCTGGTCCAGCTGCAGGGAAGCTGCTCCGCCGTTCCTCCCCTCCCCGGAGCAGCTGCAGCCGCCGCTCCGGCGCTGGCCCCTTGCCCCCGCTCCCAGGGAAGCAGTGGCACGCCGGGAGCCACCAGCTGACACCTCTCCCGGCGGCCAGAGGGGCTTTGCTCTGCTTCCAGATTGAAGCTTGGGCTCTGGCAGTGCTTCCACCTGGCTGGGAGGCTTTCAAATGAGCATTTGCTTTTCCAAATTGGCCTGCTCCAACCTCTTGTGCAGCGAGGCAGGGTGCGGAGCAAATGGTGCCTGTGCAGCGCGCCGTGATCCCTGTGGAGAGCGCTTGGCTGGGAGCGAGACCAAAATAGAGCTGCTTAAAACAGGAAATAAAAAGGCCCAATAGCAGCATCTGCAGTGTGTTTTTCAGTCCGTGCCTGCTGCTTCCTCTCTGCATTCAGGTGGGTCGAGGGGAGAGGATGTGCCTGGAGCAGTGTGACAGAGGCTGCGGGCAAAGAGCAGTGGGGGTTAGAACCGTTGGCAAAGAGCTGGGAAATAGCAGGAATTAATGGATTGCTCATTTTGATATTCCCAAATCTGGGCCAGAGGGGATGAACAGTCCCTTCCAGTGCTGATTCAGCACCATCCTGCAGCTCTCAGGGAAACTAAACCTTTTTAAAGCACGGTGTCTTTGGTCTTGCAGAGCTGCTGGAACTGCGGCCGCAAGGCCAGCGAGACGTGCAGCGGCTGCAACATCGCCCGGTACTGCGGCTCCTTCTGCCAGCACAAGGACTGGGAGAGGCACCACCGCATCTGTGGGCAAGGCCTGCACGGGCAGAGCAAGCCCCTGGCCCTGCCCACGGGCCGGGTGGCAGCGGCCACCAAGAGCCTCGATGGCATCCCCAGCCCGGCCCTCGAGAAGACCTCGGCCACCACCTCGCGCTCCTCCACGCCGGCATCCGTGACAGCCATAGACACAAATGGACTCTAGGAGGGAGGCTTTGCTTTGCTCTGGATGAGATCCCTGGGGTTTTTTAAGCTGAAAACCTCCCCACAGCAACTGTTATCACTTGACATTATTTGACACATCGCGCTGCCTCCTTGGAGCGCAGACGCTCCATTGCCCTCTCATCCTGCCTTTTCCTTTGTGGTTCCTGACCTGGGGTGAGCCTCGCCTGCAGCATCTCTCTGCTCCCCTCAGGGGGACACCAGAGCAGAGTCAGGACCTGGGGGACACTGGGCACCCACTCGGGGGACCTGGACTGGGGGGAGAGCGCTGGCACATGCTGGAGATGCTGAGAGTGTGGTGCCCAAGCGGGCAGCCCTGTCCTTGTGGCACGCTCGGGCTCGCTTCCCAAGGTGTCAGAGCCACCACTGCCTCCTTCCACCACTTTTCCTCCATCATATCCAGTGTTTTTTCCTTACTCCCAGCCTCAAGTGGCTGTGCAGGCCGGTTGTTGTGAACAGACCAGAGCCAATTTCCCAGTGGGAGCATCTCATCCTCTGTGCAATGGCAAAAGCTGAGCCCACTTCTCCTCCTCCAGGCTGGCAACTGAGGGTTGCAGAGAGGGAGAGGATTTGTTGTCTGCTCTAGAACAAGTGGCAGTGGCAGGGAGGTACTGCTGAATGGCCTGGATTTCATCCTGGCCTGTGGTGAGACAGACAGTTGGGTGTTTCCTTGTGCTGGGGGAACACGTGCAGAGCACATCTGGGCTGGGTGCAGGTGCCCTTTCCACCTGGGGGCCGTTGTTTTGTTTTTTCACTGCCTGGAAGCTGCTGGTTTGTGAGTTCCTGCTGTTGTTTTTGAGCCCAGGGATCCTCACTGGTGCGAGGGGTTGTTTACAGCCTGTGCTCTCCATATGCATCAGCCACATTGGTAAAAGAAAGGCAGGACTTGGTGTCAATTCTTACCCCCAATTCCAGGGGTTCCTGCAGTGCTGCATCCAGACATGCCCAGGGATGTGCATCCACCTTCAGAGATTGTCCCAGAAATGGGACCAGAGCGAGGTCTCGTGGGGCTGGGGGACAGCCTGGGGAGATCTGTCCAGCAGAGTCCCTGTGGTGTGGAAGGAGGCCTTGGAGGGCCTCAGGGCAGTGCAGGTGACAGCACAGCCCTGCAGCAGGGCTGGCCCAGCAGGGTCCCAGAGGAGGGCACGTGCCCTCCAGGAACCGCTCCCCACTCCCACAGCCTCACTCAGGGGCTCTGGAAATCCATCCCTTCAGCAGAGCTGTGCTTCCCTGACTGTGTGTGTGCCACTGCTGGGCTGGAGCCCAATGAGGCGAGTAATTCCCAAATTATTTCTGATCACTTTTTCAATTGGAGGTGAATAATGGAGCTGTAATGAGTCGTCACGGCGGCGAGCGGGGCACCTGCTGCTCCAGGCCTGGCCCCTCGGGAGAGCTCCTTGGGAAGCTGCTGTTGTGGGATAGAGCTGGTGATTCCCTGGCTGCAGGGTCTCATTAAAAAGCCACGAGGTCTCCTGGTGTTGAAGACAGCTCCAGTGGCCCTGGGATGTCTCCCCTGTGTCCCCAGGAGTTGGTGCTGGAGCCCAGCCCTGGCATTGAGGCAGCTCCCAGAGGGGTGGCACAGGAGCCACCCTGCCCTGCAGCAGCCCATCCCTGGGGTGTTCAGGGCACTCAGGGGGCATTTCCTGCCCTAAGGGCACAGGGACACATTTGGAGCCTCGGGTGGTTGTGATGTCCCCTCCTCACTTGCAGCCCAGCCTCAAGCTGTGGTGGCAGTGGCAGGGTGGGGTGGGAAGAGCAGGGCTGGAAGGAATTGCTTGTAAATAGATTGTCTTCCATAATTCTCATGCAACGTTGATGGCCGTGTATTAAAATTAACCCCAGTGTAAATGAATGAAATACTAACAGTCATGATTAGAATGATTGCTTCTTCCTTTTTTTGTTGGTTTTTTTTTAAGATGGAATGATAAATGTGAACTTGGGGCGTGGGAAGACATTGGGTTGAGGTTTATATTTTTTTTTTTGACATTTAATTCTGTAATAGAAATTTGTTACTTCATTCCTGTGCATAACTTATTTAATGTCCTGTATAAAGGAACCCAAACTGTTACAGATGTATTTAGTTTGTTCTACTCAAAAGTAGTCAATAAAAAGACTATATTCATCCTCCAGCTCCCCCTTCTCTCTGGGAAGGGGCAGAGGTTTTCAGCAATGCTCAGGCAGCTCTTGGGGTTTTTGGGGAATGCTGCCACACCTTGGCCTTGGCCAGGGGACTTTTAGGGACAACATTTGCCTTCCCTGTGGTGGTGATGCTGTGGACAAAGCCTGGGAGCAAGTGCAGGCAGAGCTGGAGTTCAGCCCTATCCTCAGTGATTTCTTTGAGTTTATAGTTCAGTGTGTTGTTTTCTGAGCTTTTTTTAAATGATCTTTTTTTTTTTTATGTGAATACAGAGCAGCCTGCAGGTGCTGTCACTGCCAGCCCTGTGCCCCCCAGGGATGCCCCCTGCCCACACCCTGGCTAAATCTCAGGATTTTGGTCTCCAGGCTGCTGCAAACATTAATCCAGTGATGGAGAAACCCAAAGCTGAGGGGTAAACCCCACACAGGGCTGGGGAGGCAGCTCAGGAATCCCAAAGCAGCACCTGCTGCAGCTCTGCCTCTGTGTCTGCCCCTCTCCAACCCACCCTGGCTGTGCCCTGGCACAGCTCATCCCTTGCTCTGGCCCGTGGTGCTGCTGCAGCTCCAGCACTTCCCTGGATCCCTTGTTTGTCACTCCCAGGGGCAGAAATGTGGCCCTGATCACAGAAACCCTGGCTTTGGCCAGGGAAAGCAGCAGGTATTGATTATCAGGTAAACAACTGGGTGTTTGGAGGATGGGTCCCCATGGGAACAGGGACACCCCATTCCTGGGAGGGCCATTTGTGGTTTGGGTGCTGAGCCTGCCCTGGGCTGGGGTCTGTGCCCAGCAGCTGCTGCTCCTCCAAACAGGAGCTTCCCTGATCCCATCTCTGCAGGCTGCTCCTGGCATCAGCCAGGTCACTCCCTGGCACCCCAAAGCCAGCAAAACAAACACCCTAAAGCCCAGTGACCTTCCCAGGGGTGACACCGGGTCAGGCCCAGCCAGCACAGTGGGTATGAGGGGTCCCAGGATGGAGCTGCAGCCACTGCCCCTTCAGGCACAGATTTTACTGGCTGCATCCAGGGGCTGGGGGAGAAACACTCAAAGGAAGGTTTCTGGTGGAGCAGCACCCACAGGGAGTGGAAGAAGAGGTTTGGGTCCCGGGTGAGTGAGGATGGGGGTGCAGGCACCCGTGGGGCCACACTGGTGCTGGGGGCAGGCAGGGGCACAGGGATGGTGTTTCCTGTGCCAGGAGGGTGGCAGGTGTCCCTCCTGGGCCCTCCCACTCCCTCCACACTGGCTGTGACAATGCATTTTTCCCTGCCTCAGCACAGGATCCACCAAGAAAACCCCCAGTGCCACCCCTGGAGCAGGTGGGATCTGCTCCAGCCTTCCCCCCTCATTTAGTGCCCCCTGACCCCTCCCCATGAGCTCAGCTCCAGCTTCTGGTGGCACTGCCAGGTGCCAGTGCTGGTTTATGGGAGCTGAGGAAGCAGCAGGGACTGGAGCCCCTCTGGCCTTCCCTGGCAGTGGGATGTGCTGGGGACAGCTTCAGCCACGGGCACAGCTGCTGGGGCACAAAGCCAGTCCCAAAGCCACAGCACGTGCTGCCAGCGTGGCAGGCCAGGATCAGCTGCAGCTTGCCAGAATCCCTTCATGAAATATTTTTTCCCTACAAAACGCTCTTCACAATCCGTATCAGGCACCTGGCTGCCCGGGCAGGATGTCACAGCTGGCCAGGGCCGTGTCCCCTGCCCATCCCAGCCCCTGGGCAGCCTCAGAGCCAGGAGGAAGAGGAGCTGAGAGCAAGAGGGACTGAGGGCTCCTGGCTTGCAGCACCAGCCCAGTGCCCCACCCAGGGCCAGGCTGCCACCCCCACACTCGGCTCAGACACTGTCTTAGGAGCAGGATAAATAAATAAATTGACATGAAAAGAGCAAAGGAGTGAAACACCGGCAGGGCCGAGGGCAGGCAGCCCCCGCTGGCCACAGGAGGGAATGGAGGGACAGGGAGGTGACAAAGGTGACGGCTGTGCCCGGGGCTCCATGTCCTCCCGCATGCTGATGGTGTCCTGGAGACGGCTGCCCCGGGTCAGTTGTTGTTCATGATCCACCAGGAAGCTGGGGAGAGAGGGAAAGCAGGGAGGTGAGGGCAGTGTGGAACTGGGAATGGGCATTTAGTGTGGCAGAGATGGGGGAACTGACCCTGCAGGTCCCTGGCTCTAAAGCACCCACCCTGGGCAGGGAGTGTGGCCATGGCATGGCCTGGAGAGGGGTGATCCCCTGGAACTCCTGCAGGAGAGCACTGGGAATGTGCTCCGTGGGATTGGCAGGTCAGGGGCAGCACTGGCAGTGCGGGGTTCAGTCCAAATTAATCCATGTTTTATGGATTAATTTTTACAAATTTAATTTAATTTTTACAAATTTAATTTTTACAAATTTACAAATCTACTATTTTACTATTTTACAAGACCCTGAGGTGATCCCTGAAAGCAAACTGGGCCTTAACTGGGTTCAGAGTTCCCACACCTGGTCCTGTTTCTGTCGGTACCATGGGAATGTGCCCGTTCCCTGTGCTGGCCTCCCCCTGCCCCAGCACTGAGCTGTAACCCTGGGTGCACCCCTGGGACTGACCTGGGAGCATCAGCACTTTGCAGAGCAGGCTCAGGGCTCAGGTGAAAACCCAAATGAGGCACCAGGTGTTTTTGGGACAGGACTCAGTTTATCTGCTACAGGGCAGTGTCCCTGCTCCTGGCTGTCCCCGCTGGAGAGCACCCTTGGGCAGGGGACACGCTCCAGCTCACACAGCCAAACCTGCTGGGCTCAACTGGCCTCAGCTTGGCTTGAAAAACCTCATTTAGGTCACCCCAAACCAATCTTCTGCTCTGAAGGGAGCCACAGTGCCTGTTCCTGCCCTGCTCCTGGGCTCTGCAGCACACCCAGAGCAGGACTGAGGCACCCCTCACCTGGGAAGAGCATGGTGGTCAGCAGCTCTGGGGACTCCAGCAAGCTGAGGATGGACTGCTGGAAAGTCTTGCTGCAGCTGGACTGCAAGTGGCTGTAAAACAGGGTGCAGGCTCAGGGGGATGTGGTGTTGGGACCCTCTGCCCACACACAGGGACAGGGAACCTTCTGCACCCCCCAGCCCCTCTCCTGCCCCACTCCCCAAATCCTTCACCGGGGTGTTCACCCCTGTGAGCTGCAGGTGCCCCAGGGCACACAGGGGAGAGCAGTGGGACAGGCTGGGCACGGAAAGGGAGCAGTGGGCAACCCCTCTGAGCCCCCAGCCCCACCCATGGACACTGTCCCACCTTCTCCACGAGGTCACGTCCTGCCAGAACTCGTACAGGATGAAGCAGGCCTCGTCCGTCAGCTTGCAGGCAGAGACACTGTGGGGACAGAGTGACCCTGAGCCGGGGCTGGGCAGGCTGGCACAGCCCTGGCACAACCCTGGCATGAGCCTGGGACAGCAGGGCACAGCTGTGCACATCAGCCTCACCACAAGGCTCCCAAAGCACAGTCTGGCTGCATTCACAGCTTGTGAACAGCTCCAGAGGGTCCCAACCCAAATCCTGCTTCACAGCTCCTGTGTGCAGGTGGCAGAGGAGCTTTACAGCTCTTACACTGGTCTTTGCTGCTGCTGCAGCACATTCTGTGGCTTATTATTTCTCCCTGGCACTGACACAGCTCATCCTGCCAGCCCCTTGGAGTAGGTGTGTGTCACCTGCCACCTTTCACACAGGAGAGAAACTGAGGCACGGGAGCTGAGCTCACAGCACAAACCCACAGCTCTCTGCCCCCAAAGTGATGCTTCCCTCATTCCCTCCCACCCATGAAAGGCTGGGGCTGTTCCCCAGGCAGCAGGAGCCAGCAGTGCAGTGCTCGGGCTGCAGGGCCAGGGGAAGCAGCTGTGCCGGGCTGCAGCAGCAGCAATTCCAGCTGAGGATCAGCCTTTCCTGCAGCTGCTGGCAAGGGCTGCTGGAGGGGGCCGAGCCCCCGGGCACAGCACAGCTCTGAGGCTCCCAGAGGGCCTTTGAGATTCCCTGGAGTGACCCAGGCCCGTGGAGCCTCCCCGGGCTCAGCTCCAGCTTTCCGCTCACGTGGAGAGGCAGCCCACGCAACAACACCCCCCTGTCTCCACAAATAGCCCTGATGACAAAAAAGCCAATCAATTCCAAAGGAAAAGCCTCCCATTCTCTCCACCGCACGTGTCACAGCAAGCATCTTCCTTTTGTTTGGACTGAAAATGTGAATTTGTGCTGTTGAAAGTGAAGAGCTGAAAAAGGACTCTTGAAACGGGAACAGCACGAACATTCCCTGCTGGAAGGGGCCTGGAGTGTCCCGTGGGAGAGGGGAAGGGGGCAGCTGTGCCATCAGGGCCAGGCTGGCACTGCCACGTCCCTGCAGGCAGAGCAGGGCTCTGGGACAGCCTTGGCCTCACCCAGGGCCAGCTTCAGGTGCTCTCCATAAATCAGTGCTCTGCAGGAGCTCTGCCCTTCACCTTGCCATTGCTTTTCAGTCCTTCAGTGCTGGAGGAGCTCACAGGAACACAGCACGGCCACTCCTGCTGGCATAAACCCTCCCCACTCCTCACCAGGCACTGCTTCTCCCTGGGAACACCAGCAGCAGACACTGCTGACACTCATCCTGCTTGCCACACCCGAGCCCTGGCCAGCACACAAAACACTCCACACAAACCCCTGTATCCCCCCAGGGTGTTAACAGCCCCATTTCTGGGGGAGCCACCCCAGAGCCCCCCCAAAGCACCCCACTTACTGCAGGCAGCTGCTGTGCCCGGCCGTGCCCTCGGTGTAGGAGCGGAACGCCTGCCGGAACTCCTCGATGCTGCTCGTGGCCACCGAGATCTGCCTCTTGGCCACCAGGATGTGCTGCCAAGGGACACACAGGGACTGTCCCCTCCTGCCCTCCCTGCTGCCCCCAGCTGTGCCATCCTGTGGCACCACCGTGCTGGGGACAGTGGGGACACAGAGCAGCTCCTTCCCCCCGGCCTGGCTGACTTCACAAGGACCAACAGGAGATGCTCCATGTCCAGTGAGGGGTTCTTGCTTTGGGGCTGCTGCAGTTCCCCCAGCAGAAAAGGGCTTGGGGACCCCTCCACCTGGGCCTGGGGGCACCCAGAGCACTCCTGGGGGATTTGGGCTCTCACAAGCAGGGGGTTGCCTTCCTCTGGGCTGGCTGTGGGCACTGCCCGGGGCTGGCAGGGACAGGAGGGGTTTGTCCCATGGATGGTCCCACAGCCTGAATGCCACCCTGCTCCATCAGCAGGGCACAGCAGAGCTGTGGCACAGGGCAGGGACAGGCACTTACAGCATCCTGGCCTTTGCACAGGGATTCCTCCTTCAGCGGCTCCAGGCGTGGGCTCTGCGTTAGGGGAGAGAGAAACTGGAGTTACTGGGACAGCTCTGCAGCAGGAGAGGCTCTGACCCAGGGGACAGCTGGGTCCCGCTCCAGGGACATTCCCTGTGGTACTTGTGGGGGAACAGGGCTGTGTCTCTGGGGTCAGTGGGGCCTGACAGACCCGTGAGCATCGCAGGCAAAAACAGGAGAGGGTCAGCAGAGCAGAGGGGCAGGGGCGGCTCTGCAGGTGCAGGGCTGGGGCCGGTGCGTGGCTGCAGCTCTGTGACAATGCCAGAGGGGGCTGATGGCACAGGGGGGTCCCAGGTGTGGGGTGGCCCCAGCACCCCCTTGGGCACACACCTTGCACTCCAGCTTCTCGATGAGCTGCTGGAGCCTGTTGATCTGAGCCATCCACTGGCTGTTGTCCTCGACACGAACACCTGCAGAGCAAAGGGCACCGAGGTGTCACCCAAAAAAAGCTCAGTTTTGTCATGGCCAAAGCTTGCTCAAAACCCAAAACCTACAAAAGCTTCTAAACCTCTGATTTAACCCACAAAACTCGATTGATTTATTTTTTTTTAATTTTTTTGAGAGATACAACATCCTCCAGAAGCTCCAGCTGGCATCTGGGTGAGAGGCTCCAGGCTCCATTCTGGAGGAGCCCTCACTGCCCAGTGCTGCTGGAGATGTGGCACTTGGGGACATGGGTTAGTGGTGGCCTGGGCAGTGCTGGGGGAATGGTTGGACTCACTCTTGGAGATCTTTTCCCACCCTATTGATTCTGTGATTCTGTGCTGGTCCCACACCCCCTCCAGGCTCCTGCAGGGCACAACCAACCTGAGGAACAGCAGGTACCTGTTGTCAGCATCCCAGAGTAGGGGTCTGTTGGGGACAGGCAGACATTCTTCTGTCCCCTGCGCCCACATCGCCTCCCTGACCTCAGGCCAACAGAAGTCTCAGATTTCTTGATCTCCTTTCTGGAATAAAAAAAAAAATAAAAAATGCAAAAGGAGGGGTTGAAATCATTCCTAGAGGTGTCAGCTCCACACCGGGCTGGGAAAGGGCAGATCCCACTCCCGGCTGTCCCTCCCAGTGAGGAGCAGGGCTGGGGACAGGGGGACCAGCACATCCCACCCCGGTACCTCTCCCGTCCCGCCTGCTCCTCCACGGTGTCCACGGCGCACTCGAGGGATGCCTGCAGGGACTGCAGCTGGTGCATGGTTTCCCGCAGCAGGAACCGGGTCAGGAACTGCTCCATCTTTGAGGAGGTCTCGTACCTCTGGGGGAAAGGGGGGAGGATATGTCAGATCTGGCTCTCTGCAGGGGCAGCAGAACCACACCTGGAAGGGGCTGTCCCTTAAATAAACCAAACAGGGTGGATTTCAATCAAATTTTAATTATCACCAAAAGTAACCCTCAGGGCAGCAGTGATGCTGTGGGGCAGAAGAACCCTCGGGGGGGCACTGCCTGTGAGATCACAAGGGGGGATGCAGCCACGGTTCCATGGGCACTGCGGCCCCAGCACTGCCAGCGCCAGGATCCATGCAGGACGACAGATGGACACAAGCCAGGAGGTAAAGGTCACTCTCAGGGACAGCCCCCAGCCCCAGGGAGGGCTGCAGGGCTGGCACAGCATCCCTTGTGCCCCCATCTCTGCTCACTCCAGGGCTGGGAGCCTGTGGTGGCCCCTGGGTGCTGGCAGCTCCTTCCAGGGATCCCAAAACCACCTGAAAACCACCTGAAAACCACTGGCAGGCCTAGGCTGGGGCTGGCTCTGTGTCCTCTCTGCCCAGGAAAACAGTGCCAAGCCTGTCTGCTTCCAGGAGATTCCCTGATCAATTTCTGAGGTGTGCTTATGCTGGGGGTGTAAAAGTGCATCCAGAGGGGCATGAGAAGCTCTGGGGAGAACAAAGGAGTCACCTGGCCTGGAGAGTGCCCAAAGAATGGGTCAAGAAGCACAGCATGCCACAGGAGCAGGTCTGGGAGGCACAGAGAGCCAGGGAAGGGCCTGGACACACACAGAGGCACCCCAAACTCCTTCCTTTCTCTGCCAGCTGGGATCACAGATCCTCTCAGCCCCTCTCCATGTGTTCTGGGCTCTGCTGGCAGCAGCATTCATGGACCCATAGGATATTAAGGGATTGGAATGAACCTTGGAAAGGAAGGGACACCTTCCACTGTCCCAGGCTGCTCCAAGCCTTGTCCAACCTGGCCTTGGACACTGCCAGGGATCCAGGGGCAGCCACAGCTGCTCTGGGCACCCTGTGCCTCCCCACCCTCACAGTAAAAATTCTTTCATTAATTCTTTAATTTATTAATTAATTGAATTCTTGCATTTAATACCCAGCATAAATTTCAGTTTGATCCCATTTCCCCTTGTCCTGACACTGCAGCTCCTGAGGAAGAGTCACTTTCCCACTTCCCTGGAGCCCCTTCACACCCTGGGAAGGTGCTGGGAGGTTTCCCCACAACCTTCTCTTCTCCAGGTTGAACAGCCCCAGCTCTCTCAGCCTGTCTCCACAGGGAAGGTGCTCCAGTGCCCTCAGCAGCTCTGTGCCCTCCTCTGGAATTGCTCCAACAGTTCCACGTCCCTCTTATGCTGGGGACATCAGAACTGTGCACAATATTCCAAATGGGGTCTCACAAGAGCAGAGCAGAGGAGGAGAGTCACCTCCTTTGACCTTCTGGCCCCTCTCCTTCAGATACAGCCCAGGATTTGGTCCAACCACTCAACTGTCCAGTTTTCATTTCCTTTCTTAAAACCACCTGAACTTCTGTCCTTGCACTGTTAGAGAACCCCTGAGAGGGGTGACAAGGTAGCCAGGGGAGGATGCTCAGCGAGCCAGGGAGCGAGGAGACAGGAGGGTGATGTACCCCAACACTTCTAGAGCAGCCAGCGCTGTCCTGCAGCGGGGCTGAGGCAGCCACCCTCGCAGAGCAGACACCCGAGCCTGGTTTGCCCTCACGAGTCCCCTCTTGTCCCACCACAGGCTCTCCCTGTGTGCCCGGCATCCCTGCTGAAGCCCGCCGTGGTCATCGACAGCGGCAGCCGCTTCACCCGGGGTGGCTTTGCAGGCCAGGAGCGGCCTCAGTGTGTGCTGAGGACGGTGCAGGTGCATCCCTGCAGCCCGGGGGATGGCCGGCAGCACTGCCCTGCCCCGGAGAGCCCCCCTGCCGCAGCCCCCCGCTCCTCCCCGCTCAAGTTCGGCGTCGTTCAGGACTGGGACGGCATGAAAACCCTGTGGAGCCACCTGCTCC